GCGGCGGCGGGGCGTCTGCGCGTGCGCGCTCGCTCGCGAGGGTTCCTTCGCCCCCTCCCTGTTCCCCAACGGCCGTTCTTTGCTCCCCCCCGCCGCGCGTTTTGTCTCTTCCCAACATGGAGTCACTCTTGCTTCTGCCCTTCTTCGGGTTGGGGGTATGCCCGCCTCCCCTTCCCCCCAAACTCTTGAAATCAACGAATATGAATCTTCGCTACGGCGCTGCTTTACTATTATTACTGTTATTTAGTTCTCACTTTTGCAGCGATGTTCCGGTCATCGGCCTTCAGTGCCAGTGGCTGCTTCCACACCACAGGCTTAACCAGGTTCCTGAGTTAACATGTTTTCTGGGTTTGCAGGAGATGCTGAAGAATTGTTAACTAACCAGAATGGCACAGGCTGGGTGTGCGCCACCCGCTCAGATGCAAATCTCTTATGGCCTCACACCACGCGTGAAACCATTGGCTAATGAAACTAGCAAGGTTTGCTCAACGCGCCAACCTGGGAAGGTTGGCGTGTTACACAAATCCAGCCTTTGGGTCTTTTCTCAGTTCTGTTCCTGTCCTTTCGGCTTTTAACGATCAGTTTAAATACGTTTTTGTTTCAAGGTATTATTTTCCAGTGGGGTTCTTTCACCACGAGACAGCAGTCTTAGTCTATGGAAGGCTTTTGCCTTTCCAACCTGTTACTCTCCAAATGTGTCCAGATTTTTCCATTCTTCCCCAGGGTGGCTGTGGGCTGTGCTACTTTTTTTGGTCGCAACAGAACTGCGAGCGTTTTTCTCAGAATTAATCATTGTTACATACTTGTACACCAGACTGAAACAAGGGTCTCCATTTACATAGCCTTGAGAGTTCATCCAGACGAAGATTCTCACTCAGCCAAGTTTATGGCGTGAGATGTTGGAAGCTTGGTTAGCCATGGCAGAGAGAGGTCTTTGATAGGAAACAGTCCTTGTGCCTTTGGATACGGTATTCTCTTTTGGACAAAGCCAGTAGCTCAGTTTTAGAGTATGTGCTTTGTTTTTAGAGTATGTGCTTTGCACGCAAAAGATTCCAGGTTCAGTTCTTGCCATATCTCAGTGAACAAAATCAGATGCCAGAGAAGAGAGACACCTTCCTGGCCAAGGTCTTTGAGAGCTTCTACCTGCCAAAGCAGTTCTGAGCTACAAGCACAATAGTCTGAGCCGATTACAATACTTTCCAGTCTGCCACACCCATCCTTAGTCTTTGTTCTAGCCTTGTTGTCACTCTGCTGTGTTTTTAGATGTACATTTAAATTACCTGAAGTATGTGCTTAAAATATACAATGTAAAGTTGGGAAGGAATCACTCTCACTATTTTCAGACAGCTGCTTTTGACTGTTTGATAAGTTGTAAGAAAAGAGTGGTCCTGTGGTTTCCAGTGTATGGAAATGAATCTTCTACAGTACATCATGGAGCAGATTGAAACGTGGGGAGGTCGTGGAGACTTACAGTCATGTCTCCAAAGTATGATGTTGTTGTCACCAGATGGGCCCAGTGATCAGTTAGAGGGTTACTTTTTAGTAAGGTAGAGAAAGGGAGCATAAATGACCTGCCAAAGTTATAGCTGTGCAACATGCCTCATCCTCTGCTAACCGTATGGACAGTGTTGGTTAGTTTTGGCACATTTTGACCAGATTGCCACAAGTGGAATCAAAAGTCCAGTTTTACCCTAAGTACGTTGTGATATTTTAATCTAGGGATGCCATAAGGCAAGATACCTGCTTCCCTCTGGTTTGGAGGTATGTGCTGTGTACTGACAATGTTTGGAGTACAACACTCACATGGATATAAAAGCTTAATTAAGTGGCAGGTTTACTAGCTCATTGTATTGCTTAATGTTGAATAAGGAGAGGGTTTGAGAAAGTACTGTTTGTAATGTTTGCTTCACTTCAGGGCCAAGGTA